GAGAGATGATACATCAGATAGTAAACTGATAACATGGCTGATCTTGGCCACAGGGTCAGTTCTAATGTTTATTGTACACTGCATTTTCTGTAGTATTTGGTTGCTTTATCTTCAATAAACAAAACCTCCATGCTGTGAACATGTTTACCTTCCCTTTTCTCACCCTGTGTTGTCTAAAATGACCTCAAATTGCAGCAGCTTTGACTTTCAAGGGAATGAAAGAGTTCAAAAAGCAAAAAGATGGCTTTCTTAAAGATATAAGTTCCACGGTACTTCCATAAACATCAATAAAGAATTTCTTAGGGTTAAATCAATATGCACCCTATGAATTTTTTCCCCCATTAGATTGGACAAGGGAATGAATCTTTGCCTTTAAGAGTCTGCACTGAATAGAAGGCACCGATATAATGTATTAAATATAAACTTCTGTTTAGAACGAAATTGAAAACAAAACACAACCAAATGAAAGCTGCAATGGGGGAAAGAAAAATACAATTTAAGACGTGGAATAACGAGAACGATTTCCACCCATGAAATATCTTCTGATAACTCACAAACGGTAAAGCCATGAATTTATGCATAAGATACAATTCACAACAAAGAGATAATTCATATTCAAATCTCATGGTCCTCCATCACACAGCCCTCTGTTTATATGTAGATAGTCTTATGAGAAAATGACACCAGGCACTACCGAAATTATGAGACAGCAAGTCAAGCCTGAAGATAATAATTACTTAGTTCACACAAGCACAGTGAGACTCTTCAGCTCACAATCTTCATGGCCTGCACTAGCAAATGTACCATGTGAAAGCAGTAAATTAAAAGGACACCCTGCCTTCCCCCCCCCCCCCTCCATTCCAAAGCATTTAATGAACTAATAATGGCTTGACAAAAGCAGGAAGAGAAAAGGGGAGGTGGAGGTTGGCTGATAAGAAAAGGAGGGTGAAATATCTCTTCTTAATTTACTGTAGTTTAACTGGGAAGGAACTAAAATTCCTTTAGATCAGAGCTAAGAAATGTGTGACCATTGGTGTGGTTGGACTATAACTCTGATCAATCCTCGCTGAAATGCCTGGTGGTAAGGGAAGGTGGGAGTTTAAGTCCAAAGACATCCAAAGGACCACAGTTGCTCAACCTGCTTTAGATAGATTAATCTCAATTTTAGAAAATAACTGGATTCACAAGTTAATGCTATACATGTCCATTCACCTTGCCTGCTTACTCTGAAATCATCCCTGTTGAGCTCAATCTTTGGAATTAGATCAGAACTGCAGCTCCAAAAACTTCACTGTGAGAAATATTTTGGCATTTACTAACCTGATCTATATCAAATACACTCTAGTAATAATCTGGAGTAACTGGATTCTGCACCGGGATTGTGGCGCAGCTGGCTGAGTGTCAGCTGCATTAAGATCACTCTGACCAAAAGGTCATGAGTTTGAAGCCAGCCCGGGTTGGAGTGGGTTTCCAACCAATTGTGTGTAGCCTGTTGTCGACCTTTGCAACCCGAAAGACAGTTGCATCTGTGAAGTAGGAAAATTAGGTCCCACCTTAAAGTGTGGGGAGGCTAAATTAACTGATTTATGAGGCCATAAAGAAGACTCCAGCAAAGCATTCCAGCGGGGAAGCATGTGGAGAATGCAGAAGTGCTTCATCAGTGTCGCAGATGAACGATGAAAGCAACAGCTCCCCTGGTGGCCAGAAAAAGTTAAATAGCCTCTGTGTATGTCTGTATATGTTTGTATGTCAAAAATTGGCATTGAATGTTTGCCATATATGTGTACACTGTTATCCGCCCTGAGTCCCCTGTGGGGTGAGAAGGGCGGAATATAAAAGCTGTAAATAAATAAATAAATAATTTTTCCCCCAACTATATTTGGAAAAAAACAATGGAGAAATTGCCAGTTCTTCATTCTCTGATATTATTATTATTATTATTATTATTATTTGAAACACAACAAGATGAGTTCACAGCGGACACTCTGCTGGCTGTTGAATTGGATCACACATCGGACACTTCCCAAGTGTCTAGGACTGTGTGATGTATCGGCGAATAATGTGTGCAGATCCCAGTAAGGTGGTCTTCTGCACATGGCAGATGGTAATTTTGTCAGCACAGATTGTGTTTAAGTGCAGGCCAAGGTCTTTAGGCACTGCACCCAGTGTGCCGATCACCATTGGGACCACCTTGACTGGCTTGTGCCAGAGTTTTGCAGTTCAATCTTTAAATCCTCATACCGTGTCAGCTTTTCCAGTTGTTTCTCTCCAATCCTGCTGTCTTCTTCTTCTTCTTCTTCTTCTTCTTCTTCTTATTATTATTATTATTATTATTATTATTTGAAAACAATAAACATTGACAAAATCACGGTCAACTGCAAAAGTCCACCTTACTTGGATCTGTGCACATCATTCGAAAATACATCACACAGTCCTAGCTGCTTGGGAAGTGTTCGACTTGTGATTTTGTGATATGAAATCCAGCATATATATCTCGTTTGTTGTGACATACTGTGTTTTTGTGTCAGTAAAATACTAATAATAATAATAATAATAATAATAATAATAATAATAATCTCAGATTCTTTTTATGCTGAATGTGCAGAAATCCTTTGATACTGGTATTTTTTTCAAAACAAAACACTTGAAATAAAAGAGGTGATAACCCTAATTTAGCATCAGTTGAAAACCAAGACTTTATGTCTCTGGATGAATGAATCCATCAGTTTAGGTATCTCCTAAACTAAATCCCCAGACACAGGCATGTAGCCGGGGGGGGGGGGGGCTTTGGGGGCTTCAGCCCCCCCCCCCAAATTCTCATGGTGGTCTGTGAAAAGGCCTTACTGGTACATTATTTAGACTGTTATGTTTATTCATATCATGATCTGATCACCATGCCCAATATATGTCATATGCATGGGGGTATTGGGGTAATGATACAAAAGGTTTGCTAGGGTAGACCCTCTTTCACTCAGACTCAGCCCCCCCCCCAAATCAAAATCCTGGCTACGGGCCTGCCCAGACATATTCCAAGACAATCATATTTACTGCTTCAGACTTTTCAAATACTTTGCTTTTTAATTCTCACATTTTCTCCTTATTTTGAATAAGGAAATAAGAAATTTATCTCTTATTTTATATTGTAGAGTCCTAGGACCTCATCACATTAGCCAATATTATCATCCTAGAATGCTTGGAGAATGCTGGGAGGACTGAGCCTGTCAAATGCCATCAGATGACACACAGCTGCTTCTGGCAGGGCTCTGTCCTCCCAGCATCCTCCAAGTGTCCTAGGACACTGCCAAAACAAGAGAGGAAGCTTCTCCTGTTCGATTGACAAGAAGGGAGGTAAGCCAGGTGGAAACACATTCCCACATGGAATGGGGAAAATGCCAATGTGGTTGATGTGTGGCACGGGCTGACGGTTTCCCCCGCTACCCGCATAATTCGCCCCGGTGAAAGGGCAGCCAAGCACAGGATTACCATCTATTGTTTTCCGTGTCTTGGTCCTTCATCTTCATGGAACTGGACATGTAAAATCAATCATGGAATCATCTGTATCCCCACATCGTCATCCTCTTCAGTTTCACACCCTCGATGAGGGCATCTCTGCAATGCGCTAGACTTTTAAACCTACCAATAATCAGCTGTTCATCTCACCATAGGGATCCCCTCCTCTTTTCTGTGATGTCAGAGAAACCCCTGTTCAATCCCTGCATGGATCCTAGCTGGCCCATTTCTAAGTCAATCAGGAGGAGGCATGGGAAGTCTGAATATATGTTAAAACTGTATAAAATGTATTGTATTTTACTGTAAATGTATGTGTGTATATTTTGAGCAGTAATTTGGTACTTGCATCCCTTTTGGTCGATTTATTTATTTATTTAAAAGTTTTGTATACCAACCTTCTCACCTCTCTTGAGGGACTCAGACCGGTTTCCAACCATAATATCACATACAATCAATAAAACATCATAATACATATTACAGTAAAACATTAAAACAGCAATTACAATCAATAACTATAATGGTCAGTCGTCATACTAAAATCTTTGCTCATCATCTTCCATCCATATCTCAGGGTGTTGGCTCACTCGTCGAATGTCTGTCTCCATAACCAAGTCTTCACCTGTTTCCTAAATGTCAGGATAGAAGGGCGGTTCTCCAGGGCCTCTCCAGATGATCTTAATAATCTTGATGGTTCATACGGGAGAATACGTTTGGAGAGGTAAACAGGGCCGGAGTCGTTTAGGGCTTTATAGGTTAACACCAGCACTTTGAATTGTGCTCGGAAGCTAATTGGCAGCCAGTGGAGCTGGTGTAACAGCGGAGTGGTGTGCTCCCTGTACCCAGCACCCGTTAGTAGTCTGGCTGCCGAGCGTTGGACTAGCTGCAGCTTCCGGGCAGTCTTCAGAGGCAACCCCACGTAGAGAGCGTTGCAGTAGTCTAAACGGAATGTAACCAAAGCGTGGACCACCGTGGCCAAGTCAGACTTCCCAATAAACCTCTGTAGTTTGCCTTCAACCTGGAGTGCTTTGTTCTCTGTGCTGGCTGATCTGGTTTAGCAGAAGCTCACCGAGCACGGACCTTCTTATCTGATATCCTAGCTGAAATCACTACAACATGTCTATGTATAGAATTGACATGATATACCAAATATGATCAATCTCTCACTCTCAAAACATGTAATAACTACTACTACTACTACTACTACTAAACTTCTTACCTGCCTCTCCTCATGGCTCAACGTGGATCACAACATAACTAACACATAATCATGTAAAAACATTATATAAAATATACACATTAAAACATATATCTACAAAATACATATTAAAATACACAGAACAAAGATTAAGATGCAAGTGCTCCTCCAGTCTTACGACCACGTGTTTTTTCGGGAGTTTTAAAGATTACAGACAGCATTTTTTGAGGAGAGTCTGCAAATTACTCTGTGGGACTTTGGTTTGCTTCTAATACCTAGGTATTTTTTAAATATATTTTTATAGCTCTTCCAACTCTTGACCTTTTATTAACTTTAAAAAGTGTAAAGGTTTGCTGCTAGATCTTGTTGAAAGCAGCTATGTCAACACTCTGCACATAGTCTTCAAACTTGGTGATCTCTTCCTCTAGGATATCTGTCCCCACTTGGTCGTCCTCCACCACACACTGGATCTGGAGCTTCTTGATTCCATAGCCCACTGGGACCAGTTTGGAGGCTCCCCAGACCAAGACGTCCATCTGAACGGATCGGACACATTCTTCCATCTTAGCCATGTCTGTCTCATCATCCCAAGGCTTGACATCCAAGAGAATGGAGGACTTGGCAATCAGGCCTGGCTTCTTGGATTTCTTCTCCGCATACTGCTTTAGTCGCTCTTCCCGAATTCGGGCTGCTTCCTGGTCCTCCTCCTCGTCACTTCCAAACAGGTCAATGTCGTCATCCTTGTCTTCCTCCGCAACGGCTGAAGCAGAAGGCAGATTGACTTTCTTTGATGGAGTAGCCTATGGTTCCACCTTCCTCATGGGGGTGACGTGCTGTGTTGGTGGTGGTGGTGGTGGGGAAGGATGATGAGCAGATGCTTTTTCCAGCACATTCAGGCAACATTCTAGTCTGGAGATGGCAAGCTGCAGGTCCACAACCACACTGTGAAGGCTTTGGTTCTCTGCCTCCAGGTGTGCAATCCTAGTGATCAGCTCCCCTTCGTCCCCTGCAGGCCCTGCGGAAGAAGAACTGCTGGCACTCTGCTGGCCAGAAGAACTGCAAGCTGGACCGTTCATCTGTTCATAGTATTTCTTCTCAGCATCATCGTATTTGAACTTATCGAACCAGATCTTCTCGTGCATGAGGAAGTTGGCAGCCATTTTTGCGTTAGCAAAGGAGATGTATGTAACAATAACACTGATAACTAATAACACGAGGGAGATGAGGAAGGGGAACCGCTCCGCTTCTGGTCCTGAGGCCTTTTTAAATATAATGCTATCCCCTGTTTCCCTCCTTTGGAATCTATTCCTTTTGAAGAAGGCCTGCCCTTTGACAGATGCATCCTAATTTAACAATTCTCAGTAATACCTATCAGGTTGTACTTATTGTCTTGCATTAGGACTTTGAGACCACCCTGGTTGGTTTGTCTTTCCTTTCCTTTGTGTGTTAGCCTATAGATGTTGGAGACCATGGGTGAGTGTTACATCTTTTTGGTTTCCCTGCAGTATTGACCTATAAACTACCTACTCCCTGCCTCCTTTGTCCTTCTTCATCTTTGTTCTCAGGTAAGTTCATACCTTTTGCATTATGTAGAAATTGTATATGCAAGGACCATAGGACAACTGCATTCCATTTAGTGGGATGTGGAGACTGTATGCTAGCTGTGACTTATTTATTGGTTTGGGCTGCTGGAGAGCGGGGGCACAATGGCAGTAAAATCTACAGTGGACCTTCTGTGGCAAAATATGCAATAAAAAGAGAGGCTGGAGGCAATCTGGGTTTTCAAAATGTTTACAAATACAGCTTCAAATAAAATACTTTCATAGAAAATAGCATTAAGATTAGATAGGCAGGAAACAATAAATTTAATCGCATTTATTCTGCTCTTGGTTTTTGTGTCTCTCCCTCTCCCCCACCCCACTTTGTTTTGTTTTATCTATGCCATCACTTCTGCTACAGTCTGGAATTTTCTCTATCTTTCAATATCTAAAATGACTCTGATTACATTTCTTTAAAATGCAGCACAGCAGAATTATTTTCATTCATCATTTAAAATGGCATGACAGCATTTTCTTGAGTTGTGGGTGGGGGTACTCTTTTCTCACTATTTTTGTCAGTAAAAATTAAATGTGGTATTTAGAAAAAACAAATAAATTGTGAATTGAAGCAAAATAGCCGATGAGTCTTTGCCACAAGACCTGCCTCCAGTCTTTGTCCATTTATATATGTTTGCATGTTCTAATATTCAAAGTGCTATCCTACTGTAGTTTATGCACTTTTGGAGAGAGGGGCTGCAGAGTTAATTCCCATCAGTACCTAACACAGTGGTTCTCAACCTGGAGTCCCCAGATGTTTTTGGCCTACAACTCCCACAAATCCCAGCCAGTTTAGCAGTGTTAGGATTTCTGGGAGTTGAAGGCCAAAAACATCTGGGGATCCCAGGTTGAAAACCACTGACCTAACAAAACCAGTCTTCTTCCTTCTTTTCATCCCCTTTCCCTACCTCCCTCCCACCTTCAGCTTCAACAGTTGCACCATTCCAACCCATCATTAGGCCATTTCCCCTTGAATAATCCACTAACACAATGACAGCACCATATTTCTCTTCAACTGCCTTGTCTCAATCCTATGGAATTCTAGGACTTGCAACTTAGGAAGAAAACCTAGACATTTTAGCTAAATAACTCTACTGCTTCACCAAATTAGAAAGGTAAACGGTGTTCTAGTTGTGTAGTGTGAAGGCCCTTAGTTGACTTCAGGTTCAGCACAAGTGATTGCTAGATCCTCCCACATATAGCTCTATTAGATTAAAGTGTATGCCAGCACAATAAAATGCAAGGAACAACTGTGGCTTATCTATAGTTCTAAGGAAGGTTCATAATATAGTAGACAAACCTACCACAATTTCTTTGCAGACAAGATTGAAAGAATATCATTATGCAAAAAGATAATTGTGGGAGAAACTAGGCTTGTTTGATCAAGAAAAAAATTGGTTCTAAACTTGCTTCGTTTCCAGGGGACACCAGCGTTTCGAATTTCTGAGGACTTCCGAAATTTAAGATTTCAAAATTTTGAAATTTACGAAATTTCGTTAATTACGAATCAATTCATTAATGGCGGGCGTGATTGCGCAATGCGCTAAAAACACCTCCAAACGGGACAGGGGGAACTTCTGAAGCATCCCTCTCCCTCTGTTTCTGACTGTTGGTGAAAAAACTTACAACTAACAGAAACCAAATTAAAATAAATTCAGGATGAAATTAAAATACATTAAGTTAGTAAAAATACAAATTAAAATCACTTAAAATTAATAAAATAATAAAATAATAAAATAATAAAATAATAAAATAATAAAATAATAAAATAATAAAATAATAAAATAATAAAATAAATAATAAAATAAATAATAAAATAAAATAATAAAATAAAATAATAAAATAAGTAATAAGATAATAAAATATCTCCAGGAGGAGGAGGAGGAGGATGGGGAGGAAAGGCAACGCTGTCACCTTTCCTCTCCTTCTTTCCCGTCTTAATAATTACAAAATAATTACGAAATAATTACGAAAATTTGGAAAAATTATTTCGATTCTTAATTACTCTTCACACTATTCCTGCATGGCTCGATATTGGATCGTAAGCTAATTTAAATACGAATTAATAACGACTTTAGAAACTAACGAACACAATCAAACAAGCCTAGGAGAAACCATAATTAGCAGATTTCATCCCTTCAGACCAAAGGCTTTGAGGCAGAAACCCAATGACTAGGCTCAACTCGCCCATTAACTCAACAGCAGAATGATGTCAACACTCATGCAAAATACTACTGATTCAATGGGTCTACTTTTGTCATGAGATGGTTTTTAAGCAACTGATTTTAATGTGGATAAGTGAATTTAATGTTTGTATATATTTATGGTTTTATGTCCCAGCATTTAATGTTTGCCATATATATGTTGTGCTCCATCCTCAATCCCCTGCAGGGTGAGAAGGGCAGAATATAAATGTTTTAAATAAACAAATAAATAAAATTTTGTGTGTACTAGGACTCTTCCAGGATGGAGCCAGGACAGAGCCCCAATGGAAGTAGCCCTGTGTCATGTGATGGGCTCTGGTGGGCTCCGTCCTGTCTCCATCATGGAAGCATCCTAGGACAGATCCCAAGCCTCATATGATACAACAATAAACTTGTGGTTTGAAATATGCAGATGTAGTGGAAATCAAAACCAACATATGTTTTCATTCTTAAGTTGGTGGGTTCTGCTTGACACTTGTATGGAGACACTAAAATCTGCTTTCAGTGAAGTAGAAATTAAGGTCTTAAACCTAATCAGTACATGATTTAATGCCTCATGCTGCAAAGCATATGAAGAGTGGCAAACAAATCACTTGCTAGAACTAAAGCTGATGGTTTAACCCAGACACAATGTAAACCATGAAGACACACTTAACAGAAAACTTCCCTCTATGTGGTTAGCTGTTTTGTGCTGAAAACACATAGTCAAAGATGCTTATATTTGATACTAAAATATCACTAGACAGGCAATTAATCATTGTGAAAGAAGGACTGTGGTTAAGACTATATGTGCATGCTTGTCACTGCACTGGGCCAAAGTTGCTTGTCATAAATCTCTACCTACATTTACATGCAATACAACTGGGCTTTGGCTGATCTTCCATGGCTGAATTCACATGAGGGCTATATCAAGCTCCACTGTATAAAATACTTGCCCCTTTACTGTCACACAGACCTGTTTTAAACCAAATTAAAATCAACTTGGAAAGCTACCCATGATTACACAGCCACTTTGTTGCAGAGGGATGTTTCTACTGTGTGCACATGTTTGCCATATTAGTTTATGTCTGGTCACACAACCACAGCAGTTATGTGTGGGGTGGGGTGGGAGAGGATCTTTTCATGCATGATCCTATTATGCATGCACATTTACTTTGGGTGGATCTAGACAGCCTCTTCAATGCATAAACTTCCACAATAAAAAGGGAGCTGTCCAGATGACCTCCTGGACGAACCCAAATTAATTCAACCCAAACCAGGAAAACCCTGGTTTGTGGTGAATTAATTTGATAGTGGGTTTATTCCACGACTGGGCCTGTGCATAAGACTGTAGACAGGACATAAATTCTGTGTGCCCAATGGGACGCCAGGGATGCCTCAGATTAAAGGCCTTTGGATTTCCTTAAAACAGAGTCTTTATATTGCTTAAAGGTTCAACAAAGTTCTTTATTAATGAAAACTAACAGGTACTTTAAGGCTTTCTTAACACTCTATTGGCTCTCTCTCAATCTTGTCCACAGGGAACAGGCACTAATTTTATAACTGTAACTAATGGGGAAATCCTTAACTTCTAATCTGGGCAGTCTGTCTTTGCCTCTGTTGGCGTGGAGCCCCTGCACCCGGTACCAACTGCTTCTGGCTTCCGCGAGTGACCCTTACCAAGCAGAGTTTTGTAGATTTCCAGGGGAAAAAGAATTCAGGTTTTTGTGATGGCTGGCTGAAGTCCTTCAGCAAAGGAACTGTAGGGCTGTATAACCCCGGCCAAGCTGTGGGCTGTATATCTCCCCGGCCAAGCCGTAGAAGATGAAACTTTCTACAGGAGCTCTTGGTATTATGTCCTGCATGAAAGGCTTCTCTGTGTGGACTGAACTCATAACTGGCTCCTATTCCCTCCCAAAAACCCAAAAGGGGGTGAGACCAGGAAACCTAACTATAATTGACATGTGGCTTGCCCTATGATTGCAGCCAAAAGAAGCCACCTATCTGCAGAGTCCCTGAAACTTAGGACTACAACAAACATTCAGTGCAAAGCAAACAAAATTGGAGCTCCTGGTACAGCTGTACCTGCACAAAACCCACTACTTCTGGTGTTTTCCATGGTTTTCCAGACAGTATTTCCATGGTTTTTCAGGCTAAATTAGCCCAGAAAACTGTGGGAATACCAACCACCTCCACAAAAGCCCCTCCCCCCCCAAAAAAAAACAGAGTTAAAAAACAGAAGAACACAACCAAGCTCCATGAGGTGGCAGCCTGAGTTTTCCTGGCATGTACAAATGACACACCAGGAGAAAGGGGGGAGGAGGAAAATTGCTCCTGTCTCCCCTGTCTTCTGGACATCATTTGTACATGCCAGGAAAACTCCAGCAGTCACCTCATTGAGCCCACGTGAGTTCTTTTAGTTTTTTTTACTCTGTTTTGGGGGGTTTCTGGGGATGGGGTTGTGGTGTTCTGGTG